AAGGGAAGGGAAGGGAAGGGAAGGGAAGGGAAGGGTAGGTTAGGTTTAAAAAAGAAACAAAAACATACAGGACATATATTCACAGACATACTACATAGCTAATCTATATTGACAAGTTATTGCTTCATCAATTGCTGGTAAGATCAATTCTGCAGACCACTATATAGTTGGAGCCATGTGTTTGTTTTTCCAACGCTGAACAGTACGTTGTTTAGCTGTAAATAAGGTATATAAAATCTACTTTCTTCATCCAGATGTCAGCTCCCCTGTGATAGAAATAAACTTCAAAAGAATACAAACATCTGAAAATATTGAATCTCAAAGTTGAATTAATGCATGTAAGAATTTCTTTTTCCAAATGGAACAGTGTTAGACTCTGTAGGAATATGTAAGAGTCACTGGCTTTGTGAGATGGGCGGCTATATAAATTAGACAAACAAACAAACAAAGCATTAATTTCATTGCATCTCCAACAACCTAACCCTTGACTCAGACCTTTTCTTCATAAATGCAATGAAGTCATTTCTGAAAAAGATGGGACCTAAAATGTGTTGAAGTTTTTGGTATTTTTTTTTAACATCTCTCTTTTTTGTATTAGTTAAGTAGAACATGCAAACAAAAAAAGCAAAAACAAAGAAAAAGTATACACACACACACACACACACACAATAGTTATAAAAAGATTTTTTTAAAGGTATTAAAAAAGCAAAACAAAAAAGATTTTTAAAAACATTATAAAAAAAGGAGAGCTCCCAGAATGCCAAGCGTGGTTCATCATCTGCTTGTGTCTCAGTGCTCCAGCCAATCTCTTGCCTCCCTTATCTTCCTAGCTTGGTCAATTACCCATTTGGCTGGTTCCATGCATGTTCTATTAATGATTCCTCTGATTCTTGGTACCCTACAAAGCCAAGTTTAATGAAAGCTAGTAGAGACCAGAAATAGCACTGAATGCTATATGACAATGGACTCAATCTACTATAAGCTGTCCCCTGTGGATCATTAAGTGGATAGTTGCCCCTCATATTTGTTTCATCTCTCCATCTTCTTCTTTAAGGATGCATACCCATCTTAATTAAATAAAGGACTTAATATTGCCAGGTTCCACATAAGGGTTGGACCAACCCACAAGCTAATAATATCAAACAATACCAGACCTAGGAAGAACTGAAAAAAGGAAGGGTAGTGCAGAAGAGTAACTTCCTGATACCAAACTTTCAATCCTTTGACAAGGCCAAAAGCTCAGTAAGATTTGCTACTCCATGATGAGAGAGTTATTTTATTTCCAGTTTTAGCTCACTGTCCATTCCAAAGCAGAGTATAGTAAAAACATTACAAAATTGCAAGAGTACCGTATTTTTCCATCAATAAGACGCCCCCATGTACAAGACGACCCCCACTTTTCCA